TCTATACTTTATTTATTTCTCTGGCAACATTTTACTCTTTATTGTGCATTTTTACACACATTTCTGTACTTTCTTCTTTCTATTCCATACAGGCTTGTTACTTTATGTTTAAGATATTTGAGGGGAGTTTTTATTTCACATCGCTATCCTCCTTTCAACATCAAACTGATCTGAGGTTATCCAATAACACATAAAGGACAATCCTACTGGTGCTTATCGCATACAAAGATGAAAGGTGCAAAAGCATCATTTGTGTGTCATTCATAGCACTATACTCAGGGGTTAAAGAAGGCATTGACAGTGAAACTGGTGCTTCAGCCATTTCTAGGTCATAGCAGGGTTAAGTCTGGTTGGTTCATGATTAGTATTTAATATTCTAACCAATTTCCTGTTTCCTGAGGGCTTGGAAGATGTTTGGGTCTTCCTCTGGACCTTGCCAAAGTGGTGACATACCAGAGTAAATTGTACTAATTTGTTTAAACTGATAATCTGCTTGTTTAGAAATGGCTCAATTAGTTTCTTGGACATTGTTATGAGGACCTAGCAAGAATAGCTCTGCACCTTGTCAAATTAAGACATTGTAGAGCCTTCACCACCACTTATTAAAAGATTTAAGTGAGGGTATGTATATATTTAAGCCTCTATATAACAATTTCACTTTAAGTGGATTAGAGAAACTCCACAATGCATTCAAAATTGTACACCAAAATCTGGTTTCCAAAATTCATAAAAGTTGTACAATCATTCCACCTTAAAAAAAAAGAGAGAGAGAAAGTTCAAAGAAATTATTAAAAGCCCAAAATTACTATGGCATTCATACCCATGATGATTATATGCAAACTAATGATCACAACTTAATTTCCAGCTCAGCTGTCACATGAACAATCTGCAAAGATTTCGTTTACCCCACTTGCAGACTTTCAACACTTCACACGGGTGGCTTGATCTGGAAAGATGGAACCGCGACGTGATATATGCAGACATTTCAGTTTCAGAACTGTTACAAACCTAAATTCATACTGTGTGAACTGACAACTTATTTCAAATTGTTTCTGAATCTTCACTTGAAGGGAACTTGTAACCATTAATAAAGATGTAACAATTCATTTTATTCGTAATTGATTTTTGGAGACAGCTGAAGCTAAGTATGTGTGTGTCTCCTCAGCTTTATCAGATAACAGCTAATAACAGGCCTTCTATAGTAT